GGTTGTAGAATGTAATTACTGGGTATAGTAAGGTATTTGAGACTTTATTTATGTGCAATGCAGTGACATTGAGGGATATTTCGTTTTTCTCCAGGTTTTCAACTGCCAAAATGTTACCATTGTTCGATATTTGTGCGTGTTAAGATTTGTATGTAATTATGGTATAACTAGGTTTATAGAATAAATTTACAAGCAACTATAATGTGTTTGAAATTTTATTGATGTGTAATGCATTGACTTTGAGTCAGTTTTCGTTTTGTGCCAGGCTGTTCATATTTTGGAAAAGGCGCGAGAAATGTAAACATTGTTGCTCGCGTTCCTGGGAGCTTGAAGAAATTTACGAGATTCAACATTTCTACGGAATTGTGAGCATCACCTGTACAATGTAACTGTGCAGTACAGTACTGTAAACAATCGCTTTAAAAACGCAATATCTTTCGTAGACAACTGAAAGCGAGCATTGGAAGTTCGGAACCATCAACGCACATGGTTGCTGAGAGTCAACAGCTGTCTCCTGAGCATCTATCTACCATTTCGTGTGGCGAAGACTTGCTTCACCGCCGGACAGACATCTTTGGAGTTTTATGAAGGTAAGACAAATAAAAACAGTATATCACGTGTATTAATGTACGTAGCAATGCGAGAGAGGTGAAGGTAATGCTGGCCACGGCGCCAAGTTGAGGGAAACGGAAAAGCTTTCCTGCGTAAACTTTTTGAGTCCTATATTCTCTCGGCGTTCGCTAAAAAGATGTGTATTTCATGGCACATAGTTGATAGAAAAATCATATTGATTTATTTATGTCACTAGTGTGCCAACTAGTAATAAAGTTGAATTATGGTTTGGGAATGTTGGGAAGTATTACTATTTTCTTCGGTTAACTAAGCTGTTAACTCAGCTATTACCAGAATGTGCAGCTATTTACAGCTAGTTAATTCTCTGATGAATGAGTTGGGTGGGTAATTGTTCAGAACAGGACTGCATGGAGAGATGTCGCCTTTATACTTTACATGCTGGCAAAGGCAACAAATGTCCTGAGTTCATATTTAACAAGTTAAAGCTTAATCTAGGTCATATAGTTCATTAAAAAGAGACTGGGGAGTCTTCTTGCTTTCCCCAGGGGGCTATGGCATATTGTGGCATTATTGAACAGCAAGAGCAATATATTCGCAGTGGGAATAGCCTTACTTTATTCAAAATATTTTTTTCAAACCTACTAGTTTTTTCATGAGAGTTCTTTATGACCATAAATATAGGTTTTCTCAATCTCTGTACATTTGTACTTCAAATAATGCAAAATGTTCATACGAATTTTGAAAAATTTCAAATATATCAAGAACATATATATTACCAGGTGAATGGGGAGGCACTGCAGCAATTAGTGTGGACTGAGTTGAAGGAGTAGAGGAAATCTGCCCACCGTGTTTAGTGGTCAGAAATAAGTGTAATCCATTAATGATGTCCATGAGGCTGTGTGCACCAAAAATCTACTTTAGAAAATCAACTGATGTCTATGCACAGCGTGGGATGGCCGAGGTAGTATTGTACATCTAGTCACTTGAAAATTATGCTCTTTATACTAAGGAAATTGACTGATTAATTTAAGATGAATTTAAATTTCATATAAAATTCACATTCTTGCAGCATTCTATCTTATATGCACCTCTGACTTCTCTGTAACATAGTAACAGGGTCCTTCCAGCTAGATAAACAATTTGTTTAGAAATGTCTATGGCATCAGTCTGCAAATATCTATCACGTTTCAGGAGTCAACAACATTGTGACTTGACTACATTAGTTTTCAAACTCCAATCAGTGGCACTCTTCAGTGAGGACGAAGAGATGGCGATAATTGACAGCATTGAAGTAAGCTTGATCTCCTTAGCAGTTATGTGAGGTAGAAGAAAGAATGTGAAAATATTATTTCCTGGTCGTGAATGGTGATTATGGGAAAGATTTAGGGAGGGTGTAAAAGTATTGATGGTTAAATTGGCAGGTAGATTTTATGACTAATCTCAGATTTCTCTTTCCTCAGATGACCAAATCTCCCACTCCCATGCTGGTGACAAATAACACCTTCCAAGATGTCATGACCACAAGAGAAATAGCACACTGCTCTTCTTTCGGAAGGAAATCCAAAAGTGCCAGCATCTGCCTGCGAACTTTTATTTATACATCAAATCCATTTGTTAATTATATTTTTGTTATTTACTTATTTATGAATGTTTGTATATATGTATTTATGTATATGTTATGAATGCAGTCATGTATGTATATATGTATGCCTTTATGTATGCTTATATGTATGTAATTATTTATGTATGTATGTACTGAAGCATATATATGTATGTATTTATGTTCATATGCATGTAGATATGTATATATGTATGTATTAATTTATTTATGTATGTATCTATTTTTATCATGCATGTATTTGTATATAATATATATATTATATATATATATATATATATATATATATATATATATATATAATATATA